GCGAACGTCCGTTTATTTTCGCGATTTTAAGTAGGAGAAGATTGATCGGCACCGAGGTGGACGGGTTCGTTGAATTCCTGCCTGGATCTTGACGTCGAGCACCGATGTTATTGCTTCCTCTTATTGTTTCCACCAGAATTGTTCGCGAGAAATAAAGGTAGCGGGCTCGTGGCAATCGCCTTAGAATCGAGGAGAGCGTTGGCAGCGTTCGTTTATTGCGCGACGAACGGGAACAATAATCGAGATCAATCAAATATAGAGATAAAGACGTTTTATTTGTAGAATTCGAATTCTGATTTTAGGAATTACGTTTTTTTCTCTACTAGTGTCTACTTAGCGAATAAAATATTTTTATTATCCATTGAAAAACTTTTTCTCTTTCCTTTTATCTATTTCGAAACATTTCCTTCCTCATAACGTTGTATATTGATTCGAAAGTTCGATCAGTGTGAGCCATATTGATTTTCTTTTTAAATTGACAATTAGGTCAATTATCGAAGTAGTTATTTAATTAATTCGTCGCCCGATAAATTTTTAAGTTGGAACGTTTGATGAAGAGATTTTTAGAACTATGTCTAGAACTAATTAATTTAAGTCACGAGATAATTGAATCATTTTCGCAGAGAATGCGATTTAAATTCTCCAATTATAAAGATGCCATTCGTAAACGATGGCGCGTACGAAATTTCTGTGACGCTATAAAACATCCCATAACGAGAATTATTAATATAAATTGAAGATTTATAGGAGCCCAGCCTTGTATAATAATCAAACAAGGCTAAGGTTAACAACAAACGATATTTCATTATTTTTCAATCACATCTTAAAATCAACGATATTTTTAATTTTCTTCGCCGCGTGCTCGACACAATATAATATTTTAATCCAGTTTCAAAATATCAGCGATCCGGTTGATAGCTGGAAGCACGGCCCAGTTGAACAAGTGGGCAAAGCGTAATAACCCGATCCCAAAACGATCGGCCGCGACCGGGGTATAGATAACTTTTATCCCATCCAAGCGATTTATGGACGGTCGCATTAACCGCAGCCAAGTTGTTTAACGCGTTTTAAATAAAATCGAAACTGGCTACCTACACTGGCTAACGCGCGCCAGGCGAAACACCAGAGCAGATTTTCATCAGCAGATTACACCGTCGAACCTCTAGTTTTAATTATCGAGCTTTAATCTAATTTGCGCTCACTTCTCTCTCTCTCTCTCTCTCTCTTCCTCTCTTTTCCACGATCCGCGAATGGAGAGAGAGGAATGACGGCGTGATATACGCGGTGTCCACGGAGTTTCGAGGGACGAATGAAACTTGGTAAAAGTTCATTTATTTTTCTATACGAACGCTGAGAGTGGCGCTGATTTATGACGCGTGTCCGGCTCGCCCGTATCCGCGGATAATGAAAAATCCCTGGCAGAAATCTGCATTTATTTATTCCCCACCGCCACGTATATTCTTTGATAAAAAAGCGCGTAGAATTCTATGCGCCGCGTAGAACACACACGGGGGTCACGGTTCGTGGAAGTCAAACGGGAACGCCATGATTTTTTATCGTGGCCGAGTAATATTTTTCCAAACCGTGATTTGTAAGGGGTTCGAGCGATTCTTTTGACAAATTTTCAATACTATATCTCTTCAGTTTGCAGCATCTATATTTCATTTCATTTCGTACGTAGCGGTGCGGAGACGTGGTTAAATCCTTCGGAATTATTTTTTTACGGTTTCTTTTTACAAAGGAATAAAAATTTTATCGCACGAGCTCGGGTTGAAGTTAAATGATCATCGAAATAAAAATTATGAGGAAACGTCTATTTGTCTCTGTCTCCGCTTAAAAACCAACCACGCTATTCTAAAAAAATCGGATTACAAACTCATCTCGGTTTTTCTTTCTCTCCATTTACTTTGGAGTGCGAACAAATTGGGCAGCATCTGAGTGAACGTTAACAATTGCTAAAATAGCGAACAGTTTGATGTATTCGTTAACAGAGACAAAGAGAACAGAGACAGTCGAAGGAAAGCTCTATTTAACGCAGATTCGAATTCTTAAGGCACCCGTGAAACGAAAGAGAACTACGAGAAAATATATTTTTACTCTTGACAACAACGGTTTTTTAATAAAAATTTGTAAAATTAAAAATCTCGACTGTTTTTTTTTACGTGTTGCTGGCAGGAAACACGGGAATCACAATGATTCTAACCGACTTTACTTCTCGAGCGTCCTTATTTTACTTAACCATTAATTCAACGACGATCATTCGGCGACTTTATTATCTCATTATGCTTAATGGATATCAAATTTGACCGTGGTGGTCATTAGCGGAGAAGTTGAGCCCAAGTCTATTAACGCACCGACATTCACGCCGCCGCGCTCTATCACGAGTGGAAATCCTGGTATAGCCGACAGGACACGTTTGCTCCGAGTTTCGCGTTCGTGAATTTTCGAACCGATGAAGATGGGGGAGGGGGGGGGGGAATGCGAAATGGGAATGGACGGGAAAGAGACGAGTGGGAGGAAGAACGAAGAGGAAGAAAGACGCGAGGGACGAGGAGGAAGGTAATAAGGAGGAGAGAGCGGTGGAGACAGCGAGAAAGAGAGACGAGATGAAAACTTTTATCGACTGACAAGCAACCACCACGGCCAAAGCCGTTAATGGCTACTCAAATATGCGCCCTTGCAGGGGTACTTATACATTGTGGCTTTCCAACTTCATTTTCCCAAAGTTCCACCCGTCTGAGGGCTTCAATTTTGAAACGCGTTTCATTATTTACAAATGACCAGCGCGCGAGAGAATTTTTCACTCGACTTTCCGCGCAATTTTTTTTTTTTTTTCGAAAATTGCTCTCAGAAAAAAAAAGCAGAGCACGACGGACAAAGCATGTTCACCACCGTGTCTTCCGATTTCGATTCACTCGATTGAATCTTGCCGCGATTCCGCGAGACCCAACCTGTTGTCAACCTCCGCAACGAAATACTTTGACCGTGTCGGTCGTCACATGCTTCGTTTCCTGGCATTTTCATCGCGGCTACGCTCCCCAAATCGGTGAACCGTGGGCCGAGAGTAACGAGCAATTAGTAATCGGTACCGGGCAATTACCGGTGCAAAGAACGAGCGCCGGAATACCGTTTCAGTCGTGCGCTCTCCCCGCCCGATAAATCTTGGCCAGCGTGCAATTAATCGGGCGCGAGGCATTCGAAACACAGAGCCCGCTCGGTATCTGGTTGACCTTTGGTCACCGTGGACGTACGAACCGATGCTGTCTTTCCTCTCTGCGCCATGTTCCATATGGTAGCGAGCATTATGCCCAGTCGAGGCCTGCTCTTTCTCTCTTTCCTCGAGCTAGCCAACTTCGTTCCATTTCCCTTTTCATTCTTCTCCCGGTCGCCGTCTCTCCGTTTTTCTTTCCTGAAGGACGCAACGGTTAGAAAGAGAGAGAAAGAGAGCGAGGGATGGTCGTCTCTTGTTTCTTCTTCTTCTTCTTCTTCTTCTTCTTCCATCTCTCGATTCTCTTTTTTGCCCGTGCTTCTTCCCGTTCTCGGATTATGTCGATGGTAGCCCGAAGAGAGGCAGGATCCAGGCCGGCTGGTGAACATAATAACAACCACCAATTAAAATACCTTATTACGGCGGGACAATACGGGGCCGGCGAGGCAGGATTTTAAGGAGCGAAAGGCGTAATCCCTAACGAGAGAGAATCCTCCGGTTGCGGATTGAATTTCATCGTGCCGAAGAAGGAGGTACGTCCGTGGAAATGGTGGATCATCGGTGGACGCCCCTCCCTTGTCAACACACGGATTAAACACAAATTTCCCATTAAGGATGCCGTCCTTTTTCCTTCCTTTCTTCCTTCCTTCCTTGTGTTTCTTTTCCCCCTCCCCTAAGAGAATGAAGGACAGCTTTTAATAGAATACGCGGACTCGCCCTCGTAGAATGGTTGAAAAGCGTTACCAATTTATTTTCTCGACGAAACAGAGACAATGTATTAGAAATCGATCTTAGTTAGTAAAAAAAAAAAAAAAAGAAAAAACATACATTTTCGTTACATTTTAAACGTTTACAATACGCTCGCAAAAGTTATGTTTCAGTTTCGATCGTAACGAAACGAGAAAACAAAAAAAACCGAAGAGAGAGGGAGAAATAGCATGCAAAAACGGTGAAACAATATCGTCGGAATAACAAGCATCACCGTTACCGACCAGAGGATTAATCCCCGGCTGAAAGGGAAGCACGTAACTGCGGATTAAATTGGCCAGCTGCGAAGGAGAGGCTCAGAAAGCGCGTCAGCCCGTCGTTCTGTCGATAAATAAATTAGCGAAAGGTAGCGGGTCCCGTCCAATTAGGAACGGGCCGTCGAATAAAAATCGGGACCCGCTTTCGAAACTTTCCCTCCACCCTCGGCCGTTTCGCGCTTCTCCCTCCCTCCCCCTTTCCCTTTTACGATTTTTGAATCGTCGCCACGTTGGTTGCCGTGCAACCAACGCGCCCCATCAGGATTATCCTTCGCCGATTTACGAGCCTTCTCCCTTTCCCTCCGCCCTCTTTTCATCGATTTCTTTTTTCTTTTCTCTCTCTCTCTTTCTTTTTAAACGAGCGCCAGTTACCATCCAGAGGATTCTCCCCCTCGATCTTTCGACACAGAACCTGTGTTTACGAACGACTTTAACGCTCGAGAAGCGCGAAATAGGAAATTGCCGATTTACGCAATCGTTACGGGAAGAGCCGGCCTATTCGAAGGGGACTGCGTACATGCGGTTTCGTTCCTATCCTCTTTTATGGAGGAGGCGTGTTGTTGCGAAAGTTTCAGATTGGAAATTTAAGATCGTACTCGTTGGAGTGGCGAATCGGAAGATCGGAGCTGTAAAATTTGATTTCATTTTTATTAAGAACCGGTTACACCGGATTCCTCCGCGTCGTTTCGCGCTCGGATTCGGTTGTTCTGAAATCACATTACTGAAAATTGGACAGGTTTTCGCTCGCGAGGAGGGATTCTTTTTCTTTTTTTCTTCTTTTCTTTCGATCGCGTTATCAACTCCCGCGGAACGGATATTTAGATTAAGTTAATTTCAGGGGAACGATAGTTCGAAACGATAGTTTGATGAGACCATTACAACGATCGTTCCGGAATGGAGTGAACGGGGCCGTTAATTGTCCCGAGAATTCGTTAAAGAATCGAAACCTTTTTTCTCGCATTCCATCGGATCCTCGTCGGCTAATAAGATTCTCTTACCTTATGATCCGCCAAAAGAAACAAAGGAACGAACGTTGACGCGATATGCAAACAAGTATACCTGTTTGTGAACCGATTTTCCTTTTGAAATTTCTATTCGACGAGTATTCTATGCGAACGCGCGCGTTCGTTCAACGTTGTTTTCAACGTTGATATACAGTAAACTGGAATAATTAATTAGATTCCGCTTGTACGTCTTGATTTCGAATCAAAACGATTCCAGAAGTGAACTCGAACCAAAACGAGAAAACAACGGAAGTAATTATTTTCTTAGAATCTTCTTAATGTTTCTACTTTTTCAAGGTTGTTCAACTTGCATATTCATGAATCTACGTGCATAAGTAGTGAATTTATTCTCACTCTCTCTTTCTTGTATAGGTTTAATTCTTCTTCTCTCAAATTATTATTCTTTTTCTTATTCACTCCTGAGAAGAATTGTATCTTTTAGAATAAAATAATTTTTATTCGAATCGTTGGGATTTCATCGTGTCATCAAATTATTCGTTCAACTTGTCATCTGGTCGTTTAACTAAGTCGAAAGATTGTTTACTCAATTAGCTAGATAAAACGTGCCAGCTTATTGCGTCGAACGGGTAATATTTGTTACAATTATAACGGAGGGAAGTTGAACGGTGGTTGTACGCCTTCCATCGTGCAAACTTCAACGATAGAACGCACGTTCCAACGATACACGTGCGTGCACAACTGATATGACTCCATTCGCTCGTTTGCTTAGTTAATATTAACGCTATTAAGCTCATCCGCGATAGGATATCGCGTCCACGCCACTTGGCCGCCTCGTTTATGCAGCTCGGCTAATTTGAATGAGAGTACGCCTCCATTCTCTGCCTCCAGTTAAAAACCGTGCGTCATAATTAGTCCTTCTTTCCTTTGCGATAACACAAACGAGAACGAGTCTTACGTACATACATTGAACAATTTTTATTCTTTTTTTTTTTTCTTTTTTAAATGAATTTCTCTCCTCTCCTCGAGTTAATTAAGAGGAAACTATTGACCGAACCGAAGGAAAAATAATAAATATCGCTATTAATTTTTATTAATAAAGTTACTCGATACTCGTTATTTCGAATAATTAAAAGCAAAGAAGATAATTCAATTTGCTCTAATGTATTACATTAACGAGCCCTGTCAATCAAATCTGTTAAATTTCCTATCTTCCATCAAATTGCTTAATAAACGTCGATAAATAATCGTGTACCAAATTTTCACGATCACGTTTTTTAATCAAAAGCCTGCTCGAGCGATATATTCGCGAAATCGTCTGGCCAAAAAAGGAA